CCTGCCAAGTTATTATTCTCTTCGAGTGAGCTCTTTGCCCCATTTTTCCTGCCAATATTAGCCCGATTAATCATAGGAATAAAGGGCTGTTTGATTGCAGTAATGCATCTCATTCTCGTTCCATATTAAACAATCATACTTTTCATATCAAACATCCATACTTTTCATATTTGATCAATCTCATTCCATAATAAATAACCATACTTTTCATATAATTATTTGGATGGTTTATAAATTTAAGATTATTTATTTTTCCTTTAACGATTCAGTGTTTGACTTGTCATCTAATTTCAGTTTGAAGGTAAGGAATAAATGAAAAGCATGTGGCATAATTTGGTAATGCAAAATTGTGATAAAGAAGTAGTAGACAAATTATGTGTAGATAAAAAAGAGCATATAGTTTTTGCATTTAAATTTGGAGGATTTTGGGTTGACACAAAGAACCAATCTAGAAAGAGGTATATTGGTGGCAAACAAAGGACAACAAAACTTATGAAAGGACATATGAATATTTTCAAGATTAGAGCAGAGATTGCTAGAATATGTCCATGACTTAAAGGACATCAATATAGCATGCATTATAACATTAATGGAACATCACCCAAGGAGTACAAAGTAATCAATTATGAAGCTGACGTTAGCCAGTTGGTAAAACAATCGAATGAAAATTTACGTGCCGAAATAGTTATCTCACTACATGAAGGAGATGAAGATCAATCAAACTCATAGCTCCTGGGGGTTGAGAGTATTGAACAAATTATAGAATGTTCTATTTCTCATAACGATGGTGCTTCAAGATTTCAAAACACAAGTGTAACAGATATCACTGTTGGTACATTATATAATGATGCATCATGTTTCAAGAATTCTCTCCGTTCATTTGCCATTAAGGATAACTTTGGGGTGAGGATAAAAGCTAATGATAAGAAATGAGTTATTGTGGCATGTTCATATCAAGGTTGCCAATGGAGAATTCTGGCGTCCTTATGTGAAGACACTCAATCTTTTCAGGTTAGGAGAGTAGATGGAGAGCATACATGCCCTGGGATAAATCGTGTTGGGAATCGGCTAGCCACAACTTCATGGGTTGGTAATGAGATTCAAGAGATGGTGAAGGGGTGTCTAGATATTCCATCAAAAGAAATAAATAGCTATCTAGAGAAGAAATTTGGTTTATCATTAACTTATTTGAAGCTTAGAGGGCAAGAGAGCAAGCTCGTGATAACATTTTTGGCTCAGTGGATGACAATTATAAATGGGTTCCAACTTTGACATCCGAACTACTTGATCGAAACCAAGGGTCACGCATCACATATACATTTAATGCTATTGACATTGCTTTCCAAGGGTTTTATGTTAGTTTCAAGGTGTGTGTTGATGGATTTCTACCGAGGTATCAAGATTTATTGTGGATGGTTTATATTTTGTTAACATCCTAGGTGATGTTATAGAAGTAGTCATTTTCTTTTTGTTTTTATGTACTTTGCAAATGTTTCCAAAAGCAGTTGGCTGTTAACTAAAACTTCACAATTATAAGTGGAATGAACTTTGGTATTGTCAGCATCAATAAACAATTAACTTTGTTGTTTCCCAATCAGCTTGGGACAACTTCATTCTTAATAGATATCAAACTGCAGTTTCAAAAAAATAGTTGGATGTTAATTGAAACTCCCAAATTATAATTGGAACAAATTTTATAAACTTTGTTATTTCCTAATTAGTATGGAACAACTTTATTCTTAAGAGATATCAAACTACAAGTAACAAAAATTACAGGAATGACAGTTCACGAGCATAATTTAGATTTTTTTTTTCATTAATTTGGATAACCGTACAGTAGACTTGATCAACACATCAATTCAAGAAAGCAATTAACATTGACGAATAAACAAAACAAAAAAAGATGTGTTGATCTCTATAATACTACTTAGCATTCAACCCATTTCGACACAACATGTTACAAACCCAAACTGATGGCTACACTAACAATAACAATTACAATGAAGACTTTCATTAAGTACATGATCCAGTAAAGCTTCTTAATAACCTTTGCCTCAAAGCCTTTGTGTTCATCATTTGTACCATAAGATGCATTTTCTATTTCATCTATCCATCTAAAGTATATGCAGTCGTCATTAGTTCGATTATTCATGCACCTATAAAATTGTCTTCAACTATTAGGACCATGGTGGCATGTATACAATACACAATTCAAGAGACAATGACAATAAACTTCAGTACGTGTGCGCCTGTCTCTCATAGCAGACGAATTCGTAGAACTCATTTGAAACGTTAAAACAATCTGTCAATAAAAAAGAGAAAATTGAGGATTCTCCGAGTACATAATCATAATCTATGAAATGAATTATTAAGAACAATCAATATGTATGTATGTTGAGTCCATTCAAAAGCATTACAATACAAAAGCATTTGGAATAAACATTGTCTGTGACAACTAATATGACTACATACAAAGATCATTCTATAACTTACAATCGACCAAAAAGGTAAGAACTTAGAGCCTGCAATCCTTTTGTAATAAAACAGTTAGAACTTAGAATTATTCTGTAACAAAACAGTTAGTACTTAGAATTATTCTGTAAGAAAATAATTATAACTTAGAACCATTATGTAACAAAACAATTACAAATTTACAATCAACAAATTCTATAACTTCAAATTAACAAATTCTGCCAAATTATGAACCGAAGAAATGGAAGATATAAGAGTACCTGTAGCTAGCGAGGGAACAGATCCAGACGATTCCGCTAGAAGACCAACGAGGAAGATCTGCAGCTAGGAAAGATCTGCAATGAGGAAGATCTGCAGCGAGGAAGAAACGAAGATTTGCAGCCTGCGAGAGAACAACTCACGAGAGAAGGGTAGCGAGGAAGATCTGCAGTTCGTGAGAGAAGCATAGGGTTCTACAACACGAAGCAGTGAAGAGGTTCCGTAAATAGGGTAGCTAGGGCTTGCCAAATGAAAATAGACGGAGTGAGCGATGCTGTTGATGACAGAGTGGTATTTCTATTGTGAAAATAGTGTTTGAATGGTAGTAGTGTAATATTTATGTATTTGATGTTAAATATGTAATATACAAGAAATAAAGTGGTATGTATGTAAATCCCCCTAAAACATTTACCTTGGAACATACTCGTTAAAACTCTTCTCGACGACCCAAAAAAGATAAATGGGATGCAGAGAGGTAGCTGTGTGAATTTTGGTAGCCTACATGTACATAAAAATATATTACAATTTAGACAATGAAAGAGCAACATTTCTAGCACACGACATTATTAGAAGCAAAACATAAACAAAAAGGTTATAAAAGATAAAAGGACACCATATGCTAAAGATTGCTATTTTCTTCAATAGCCTATTATATTTGTTGAGACTTTAGGACATGCATATTTGGGAACATAATATGGAGGCGTATTTTATCCTTTAACACGCAATGCACGCAATTTGTCATAATATGTTGTCCTTGCGAGTTCTAAATAAACATTCAAAAAAGATGTTCAATTAAATGACACATAAACATACTTTGAAATAAATGAAATGATTTTGTAGCATATCCATAACTTAAAAACAAACTTATTATTTACACATATCAGATGCATTGAACTCTAAATATGCGATAGGTAAAAATGGCTAAGAGTACGAATAAGCCCAGGTGAAAGAAAATAAATGATTTTGGGATGGTGAACCCTAAAACTTTTCGGTGAAAGCCGAACCAAACGAGGCGTAAGTCCCAACTCACTCTGGTGGTTCCTAACTGCCGCGAGCAGTTCGGCATTGGAGATCCAGGGGAAAAAGGAGAGAAATATCAAATATCTATATAGATTGTTGACGCTAGAGATCCCTGTTTCCTTCATCTTCTGCCGAGCAAAAGCGTCTAGAATCTAGATCTCCGCTTCTATCGATTCTTATAGAGGAGCTGATCATCCTGACTTCTTATTTTCCGGATGTTTTTACAGATACTGTTAGTGACATCGAGATTATTTGGGCCTGAATCAGAAGAAGAGGAGAAGTTCACCGATCAGAGACCATTATCTGCCTCTTTAGTTTAATCGGTGAGACATAGTTTCGATTTTGAGGTTTTCGTTAGCTTTATTTTGGATCTGAAATTTGTAGTTCTCGATTTATTATTGTTCGTTAAGGAATCGAGAAATAAACTGGACGAAACTCTCTTGAAAGGACATTTGAAGTGCTACTTCTGGATCTTGTTGCTCAGCTTTGTTGTTCTGAGCTCAGGAAGTGCTGTTTTAAGGTTTGATCTAGTAAATACCTGTTGTAGTGATTGTTGATTTTAGATCGGCTTTTTTTTTTCTTCCGTTTTGTTTACTGATTTCATTTCACGAAGCTAGGGTCTCTTGGATTAGATTTAAATCGGGATATCTGTCTGTTTTTCTTCTTCAGATTCGCGGATAATCAGTGAGTTTTTTTACATGATGGAGACGCTTGTGGAGGTCGCACAGCACCGCAATCATGGTTACTCCAGAAGCTATGCGCAGCTCACGGAACGGGTTTTTTCTTCTCCCTCCAGGAGATTCAATGGGTTTAACTGCTGGACCTTTCAGTCTGGCCATGATAGTTTCCCAACTTTTCCATCATATCACCGTTCTTATGCTCACGATTCGGCGTCCAAAAGCTCGGTGTTCATGTCAGAATCCCCAAAGTTGAGCAGAAGACGTTCCCTGATTGCGATTATTCCCAAGAAATCCCCGAAAATTTCGACCTTCTGTGAAGACCTCTCCTGCTCCGAGCTCTGGGCTGGTCCAACTTACTCCATCTCTCCTCCTCCAAGCTCACTCCCCATCCCCAAATTTTCTCTACCCCAGAAACACAGTATATCTCTTGATCTTCCTTTTTCAAGGTCTAAATCAGCCCCAGCTTCACTCATAGGGGATTCCCGTTCGTCTTCCCCAGATTTCTTCTATAGCACGGCTTCTGCCACAGAAAACCTGCGACGGATTCTAAACCTAGATCTCATTAATTGAGGTCTATGGTGAATTCGGATTTCATTAAGATTTCTGCTAGCTTGTAGATACTGTTTGTGAATAACTTGGGGGATAGTTTGACTTCTTACAAAACTACCAGGGTCATGAAGAAGAAACTTTATTGAGGGTGTTGAAAAGTTTCTATGGAAATGGAGTATTTCCTTTTTCACTGAGCTTTCTAACCTTTAGTTCAAACATCCTTTGATTTGAGTCTGGTTTCTGTCATTCTAATGATGAATTTCTGGTATATTTATCACACATGATTGCTGTACAAGCGTAGTCTCAGTAGGTTAAGTAGACTTCTTGCATTGCAGTGTCTCAATTCACTCTCTAGATTAATTTGATATCGATTTCCCTTCAGGTTGTTTTCTCAACACTATTCTTCTTCCTTTGTCCTCTTTTTTTTTTTGTTTAAACTCTTCTTTTACCAACCAAGATGCTTTCCAAAAGCATCCGGTGCCCCTAGGCCACTTTTTCTGGTTTTTGTAAAGGAAAAAGTTGGGAGGGGGAAAGAATGGTCCTTTGCCACCGATGCTTAGCTTGGTTGGGAACCTCTCAACCCGTGCTCGATTCCTCTCGAGTGGCAGCGTCTCTTAAGTGGGGCTCAATCAAGTGCGGGCCAGGATGTTTCTGGGGTGGGTCTCTTTTACCTCAGCTGAGGATTTGTCACGTTGCCAATCGCCCTTTCTGGGGTGCTAGCGGGTGGATACCCATTCCACAAAAAAAAAGGTCCTTTATCTTTTCTCTTTTACTGTGTCAGTAAAGGTTCTATCAATAGTATATGGTGTCATTGTTCTTCATTCCATTCCTATTCCATATTCCATTTTCTGAGAAATTATTAGGAGCAGACTGTGTAGCTCTATGTGCAGACTATAATATGAGTACTCAATAATACACAACTTTATACCCCAATTAAATTGAGTATATAGCGTGTGTAAAACTTTCTACTCTTCAAATCTATACGTAGAGCTATGTAACTAGTCTGCAAGTACTAATTTCTCCTTTTTCCATTGTTCACTTTCATCTCTTCACCTTAGTTCTTAGTTTCTTAGTAAGTTTGGTCAGTCTGTTGTTCTTGTGCAAGGCTCAATTGAGCTCCATGGGTTTCTTCTGAGAATCTTAAATAACAAGGTAGAGATTAATATTCCACTTTAGTTTCTTGCAAGTTAATTTCTCCAGAGAATGAAGGTTTATAAACTAAATTCTAAACTCTTTTGTTTCTACTTCTTTTTTAGGTGTCGGCTGCTGCGGCCTGAGGCTTGTTGCTGTAGTACTGGAGTTGTTTCTTTAGTCACAGGCTGATCCAGTTATTGAGGGCCTCATGGCTAGAGTTTCAACAGGTATCATTCAGATTGCTTTCTGTCTGCTGTATGGAAGTTTATGAGTTTATTTTTAGAACTGCTTTGCTGTTGGACATTATGCATTTTAGCTTAGTTGTTGAGATATTATGCAGTTTGATTAGTTCATTCTCTTATGATTTTATCCTTGAAACGATTGCAGTATGCAGTTGTTTGTTTCTAAATGTTAAAGAACTCAGTTCTTCCCACATATTTATATATATAGTTTGGTTATGCTCTGTATCCTTAAGGAAGCTGCTGGGTTGCAAGTAGGATTTAAATAAATCCTATAAATCTTGGTTTAGTGAATCTTATATGGATTAAGGGTTCGCTTGGGATGAGTTCAATTTTTTATAAAGATAAATGCAAAATTATTGTAGGGAAAGTAACTTATTTTGAAAGTTGGTATAGACTACACCCTCAAAATCATGAGAAATTATTCTTTGCAGAGACCGCATGACAAGAACCGTCCAGATTTGCTGCGCTTTAGTTGCACCTTTTGCTGTGCTTTTGCAAATATTCAATAAAAGGGCAACAAATATGAATGCCCTTTTGTTGTCCTTTTGCTGAGTATTTGTAAAAGCGCACCAAAAGGCAGCAAATATTCAATTAGTAGGATCTAGCTGCCTTTTTGCTGTGTTTTTGCAAATACTCAATAAAAGGCCAGTACAAGTGCATTCATAATTGCATTTTTGTTGCCCGTTTGTTGAATATTTGTAAAAGCGTAGTAAAATGACAGCTAAAGGCCAACAAACCTGGATGGTTTTCATCGTCCTGTATTCGCACATAATAATTTCTCCAAAATCAACTTTTAAGCATAAAATTTTCTTGAAAGTAATGAGAAAGCTGCAGCCAAATAAAATTATGATTACGATCTAAAAAATAAAATAGTAAGAAAGTTATCTCAAATATACTCTAAATTCTAAAAATTATTTGATATGATATGATAGATGTTAAATTTAGTTAAATTTAGATACACAATCTGGCTACCTGGTTTAAGATTTAAGCACATAATAATTTCTCCAAAATCAACTTTCAAGCATAAAATTTTCTTGAAAGTAATGAGAAAGCTGCAGCCAAACAAAATTATGATTACGATCTAAAAAATAAAATAGTAAGAAAGTTATCTCAAATATACTCTAAATTCTAAAAATTATTTGATATGATATGATAGATGTTAAATTTAGTTAAATTTAGATACACAATCTGGCTACTTGGTTTAAGATTTAAGGTTTGATAGGATTAAAACATCTCGTTATGTTTGGGTTAATATATTAATATTAAGTAATTTACTTAAGTCGTAATTAAAATAATTAAATATTTAATTTATTATACTAATTAAATAATAAATTCTATTAGAAAAATTAAGTAAACTAAAAATTAATATCAATTAACTTGAGATAATATTTTTAATTAACTAATATTAATTATTAAGATTAAAATACTTCTTTAATTAAAATAATATATCTAATTTTTTATTGAACACTAGCTATTTTAATTAATAAAATGTTATCAATTTGATATTTTAATTAAAGTATAATTAGTAGAAATTAATATCCTAATTAATCATTAATTAGTTATTTATAATATTAATTAAAATAATAAAGTCTATTGGATCGAATTAAATTACAAATAATAATATTTGATTTGAATTAATGTTTTTAGTTAATTAATGTTAATTATTAAAATTTTAATTAATATGCTTAGTTAATATAAATTCAAATTAATAATAGTTTTAAAATTAAATTCCTAAATTCTTAAAACTCTAACAATAAAGAAATTAGGAAGCCGTGAGGATGGCTCGTTCGAGAAGGCATTATGGGACTGCTACTCCTACAAAAAGCTCCTAAAGTTGATTAACAAGTGTATCATGCAAATTAATCATAGTTGTTATACTTTACGAAATATACATCATCATCATGGAGTTGTCTGCCACCCATAGCTTAATGATGGTACCCTGTTCACCTCCTGCAAACCTCACATTCCTTTCCCACTAAAACTTATTATATATAACATCAAAATTATAGTTCCCACATAACTCTCAAATGACACCTATTCTATATGGAAATTCCAAATTCTTAAACTCTTCTCAGCCAACGGGTTCTCTGGTTTCCTTTATGGCACATTTGCAATACTGCGACCACCATCTCCAACCAAGCTCCACCACCAGTATAAATCTTGCTCACGATCAGTGGCTCCTCATCAACCAAAATATGGCAACTACTCTATATTCAACCCGCACCTCTTCTATTCTTCCCTATGTTCAAATCTCAATACATGCTGCGACATATGACTCACATTAGAATGTCAATTTCAAGCCATAAGATGATCTCGTGTTATACAACTCAAAAATGAGTTCTATAACATCTCTATGAAAATCTCATCCATGACTAAGTTTCCCACAAAGTTTAAAACACTTGTTGATCACATCTCATCCACCGACTCCATGGTCGAACTCGAAGACATCATCCTATACACTCTTAATGTCCTCCCACCACAGTATCAATCATTTAAAACATCCATCCACTCCCAACTCACACCTATAAGCCTCAATGGCTTCTACTCTCTTCTCACCAGTGAAGAGATTAATATATTATTAGACTCATTTTTGTGCATGGGCGGATCCACCCATGGCTTAGGGTGGGCAAATGCCCACCCTCAAAATTTTTTTTTTAAAATATTTAGAGGGGAGATTTTGAAATATTTTGGGTATTTTGGGCATTTTGCCCCCCCCTAAAAATTTTTTTTTGCCATACTTTTATCAATCCTAAGCATATTTGTCCATCCCTCATAAAAAATTTTTTTTTGCCCATCCTAAATAAAGAAGCTGGATCCGCCCCTATTTTTGTTTGAGGTCAAGAAGCATCAAATTAAAACCCAATCCTGAAATAAAATCCAAATCCAAATCCAAAATCTAAAAATCCAAAATCAAATCTTCAAATCCAAACCCAAAACCCCTTGGTCCAAAATCAGTTTCTGGGAAAAATTCAAATCCTTCAAAAACCTTATCAAACAACCTTGGTTTTTTTATCTGTTAGTTGCATTTTTTTTTTACTTTTTTTTTTCAGTTGCATATTGATTAGTCATGTCCTTATGGTCATTTACGTTAGTTTGGAAGCATTCTAAGTCTTCTAACTCCCAAAACTGAATTCATTTCTAAAGGCTACAAAATTATCAAATATTTACAGCCTATGTCACTGGACTTTTGCATATTATGAAAAATCACATTGGAAACCTCTCTAAAACTCTTGGTCATGTTCTTAATCATTTGCATGATGTGTTAAACCAACTTTGAACCCTTGGTGGATCATGGTTGACCATGGAGCCCTTGAACTCAAAATCTCTTAAAAAATCAATTTCTCTTAAACTACAATATGGCTCAGTCAAATCAAGTTATGAAGCATCCTCCAACACATTTTATATGTGAAATGAAGTGCATTGAACCAAACCCCATGCCTTGATTAACCATGGTCGATAATCATTTGGAACCAACCATCGTCAATTAAAGCTTCTAAAGACCAATTCCGGGACCCGACAACATTCCGAAGCCCTTGTCCGTTGATTCGCCCAGGCTGGGAGAACCTGAAAGGGCAAATGCCCTCCTTACCTCCCGGTGCCGGGGAGGGGACGCCGGGAGGTTGCCGAAATTTTCACAAAAATTTTTGGACTTAGAAAAATTTTGAACTTATATGGATTTTGTAAAACATAAATTTCATTTGAAATTGATTAAATTGAGCATGATTTAACTAATAAATAAAAATGATTAAATGATTAATTTAGAATCCAATTTAAATTCAATTAAAGATATAATCAACTTTAAAAAAAAACTTTAATCTGAATCTTTAATTGATTTAATAATTAATTAATGTTATAATTAATGAATGAACTTAATGAAATATAAATTTATATAAAATTCATCTGATTGGACAATTCTAAACTTTAAAACTTAAATTATAATATTTAAAGTAATTTAAAACCTGAAGTCTAAACTTAATTGAAAATTAAATAACTAATTGACTTAATTAATTAACAAAATCAGTTAACTCCCAAAATGACTAAACCTAAAATCAATTAAATGAATAATTAAATTCATTAACTATAACCAAACCAACCAAACGATTAACTCTTAAAAAAATAATTGAAATTCAATTTAGTAATTGATTTAATATAAAAATATAAAATAAAAATAAAATATAATTAAGAAGCTTAGTTAAAACCTCAAATTCTGAACTAAAGCTCAGTTAATTGAACTAAGATTAAATTTTGAATCAAATTGATAAAATTAAAATCGTTAATTAAGCTAACAGTTAATTAATTAATATAAAACCTTTGAATTGACAAATTAAGCAAATAATCTAATTTAATATAAATAATCCAATCAATTTAGTTTTAAAACTTAAATTCAATTAATAAAAAATTATTTGATTAATTCATCTTATTAATTGATGCAAATCAAAATAAAATAAAATGCATGAAATAAATGTTTCCACTAATCCAATTCATGTACAAACTAACAAAAGCTCTCTAACTGAACGACTCTCCAAACAACTGACAGCTCTCCAAAATAAACTTTCAAAGCACTTAACAGACTCTCAAAACTACACTGAGTAGTGACCTCAAAACATATGTTTTTGTGCTCTCTGAACTCTACCTATAAACTCTCCGATCTACTACAAGTATCCTGTACTTGTAAGCAAGCAAACAAAAATATCAGCTCAATATATATAAATAAAGCTAAAAACAAAACTAGTACTGGTAAAAAAAAAGCTAACATTGTGAGTAAAGAAAACTGCTACCGTAAGCAAGGCTAGTGATGAAACAAATAGTAAAAGCTAATGTTGAAAGTAAAACTGCTATGAAACACTAAAACAGGTGTTGAGGTGGGGAAGTGTGTAAAGCTACATCCTCATTAATCTAAGTCCTTTATGTTACATCTAATAAAAGTAATCATTCCTATGAATAATTATTTCATTAAGTTATCTATCAAATGAAATGATATTCCTAAAATTAATTGGCTACTTTCAATGAAGCCGTAAGTCCAACCTTTAGGGGTAACATCTAGGGAGCAACCTAATCTAGACCCCTCTATTGGGCATCTTAACATATAGGACTAAGTTGTAAGACCCGTCATTTGGGCCACTTCTAAGTGAAGCAGTAAGACCTGCGTGTTAGGGAACTTCTAAGTGAACAAATCAAAACCCAAAACCTAAACCACAACGGGCATCATGGTCTATAGGGTCAGGTTGTAAGCCCACCATACGGGCCACTTAGCTTATAGGGCTTGGTCATAAGGCCCATCGTTAGGCAAC